TTAAACAGCAAAACAGGGGTTTATTTATTAAACGGGGTTTGAACAGCATGGAGGGACGGAAAATACTCAGATGTCTCCTAAAAGGCTGCTTTGTTTGTTTGTTTGTTTATTTATTCGTCCATTTATTTATTGGTTTGTTTGTTTGTTTATTTATTCATTTATCCATGTATTTATTTATTCAATCATTTATTCATCCATACATTCATTAATTTATTCATGCATTTATTTGTTTGTTTATTTCTTTATTCATTCATCCCTCTATTTATTTATGCAATAATTTATTCATCCATTAATTTATTTATTTATTAATTTATCCATTTATTTGTTTATTTATTCATTCATCCATGTATATTTTTAAGAAGGACAAGGACAGGAAGGAGAAGGACAGAGGTGGGGGGGGGGGGCAGAGGGTTTATTTATTAAACAGCAAAACAGGGGTTTATTTATTAAACAGGGTTTGGACAGCATGGAGGGACGGAAAATACTCAGATGTCTCCGAAAAGGCTGTCTTTGTGTGTTTGTTTGTTTATTTGTTTGTTTGTTTATTTATCCATTCTTCCATATATTTATTTATTCAATAATTTATTTGTTTGTTTATTTATCTATTTGTTTATTTATTCATTCTTCCATGTATTTATTTATTCAATCATTTATTCATTCACTTATTTGTTTGTTTTGTTTTGTTTGTTTGTTTATTTATTTATTCATTCTTCCATGTATTCATTCATTCATTAATTTATTTATTTGTTTGTTTATTTATTCATTCATCAATTTATTGACTTTTATAATCATTTAATAATTAATGTATTCATCCATTCATTCATTAATTTATTCATTCATCCATTTATTTATTTTTTCATTCATTTATTCATCCATGTATTTATTTATTTATTTATTTATTTGTTTGTTTGTTTATTTGTTTGTTTGTTTATTTATTTATTTATTTATTTATTTATTCAATTATTTGTTTTTGTTTATTAATTCATTCATCCATTTCTTTATTTATTTATTCAATAATTTATTAATTCATCCTTTCATTTATTTATTCAATCATTATTTGTTTTGTTTGTTTATTTTTATGTCTTTGTTTGGTCATTTATTTGTTTATTGATTTATTGATTTATTTATTTTCAGCTTGTAATGGCAGGTCTGCACACCAGTTTTCTGTTTTGAATTGTATTTAAACGTATTTATATTTATTGTTTGTATTTATTATTATCCCCCCCCCCCCTCTAGCCCAGAAGAAGAAGGCCTCCAGTGCTGGTCTGGACCCGGAGGGGGCCGATGTGGAGGTGGGGGACCAGGTCCTGGTGGCCGGCCAGAAGCTCGGCGTCGTCCGCTTCTACGGGAAAACCGACTTCGCTCCAGGTGGGCGGGGCCAAAAGTGGGCGGGGCTATGAGTGGGCGGGGCCTCGAGTGGGCGGGGCTCGAAGTGGGCGGGGCTCAAGGTGGGGTCATGATTCGCTGTCAGACGCTTTTAAAGCTGTTTTTGGGGCTTTTAAAGCTGTTTTTTGGGACTTTTAAAGCTGTTTTGGGGGACTTTAAAAGCTGTTTTTTTGAGCTTTTAAATCTGTTTTTTTGGGACTTTTAAAGCTGTTTTTTGGGGACTTTAAAAGCTGTTTTTTTGAGCTTTTAAATCTGTTTTTTTGGGACTTTTAAAGCTGTTTTTTGGGGACTTTAAAAGCTGTTTTTTTGAGCTTTTAAATCTGTTTTTTTGGGACTTTTAAAGCTGTTTTTTGGGGACTTTAAAAGCTGTTTTTTTGAGCTTTTAAATCTGTTTTTTTGGGACTTTTAAAGCTGTTTTTTGGGGACTTTAAAAGCTGTTTTTTTGAGCTTTTAAATCTGTTTTTTTGGGACTTTTAAAGCTGTTTTTT